GTAAATGCTTCTAAACAATGGTTTAAAAAAAAAAAAACCTTGGTGACTATCAATTTCAGATTCCCATACTCATGCTTATGTTTTAAAAATGTTTATAGACATTTACAATTTCAACGAACATTAAGCACTTCTGAGTCTCCTCTAAATTGGTAGTTCTTCTAGACCAAATTTTCAAAATCTGATAAAAGTTGTTCACATCCAAGAGAAATGCTCACATAAAATTTTGCATACAATCTCACAGGCCTTATTTGAGTGCACGCCCAGAGACAAAGCTGGCCTTAAACTCATCAATAACAAATACAATGATCTAACCAAGGACACCAATTCTTGGCTCTCAGTTTATAGTCTCCTCTATTTATACAAATTTTATTTTTGGCATTTCGATTTAATTCTAACAGGTGAGTATTCACCGCTCCAAAGTATTGTGTTAAATACTACACAATTCTAAACAAGCTAAACTTTACCTGCTCTCAAAAATATACCATTCTACAACAAGGATGGTATATTTGAAGCAAGCGTTCAAATAACAAGCGTTCTTCAGAAAAGTTCACAGGAATAGTTAACAGAAATTCCCCACAGTAAAACCTAACTTTTGCAGTTGAAGAACTAAAGCTCAAAGATTTTACTTAAAATCATAATACAGGTATAACAGCAAAACTAAGGCTTGAATTGCACCCTTTAACTCCAGATTATAGGCTCTTCATACTGCGATACTTTACACATCCCTCCACCTATAGAACAGAGTCATAAAAAGGGGAGGAAAAATTAGAGAATAAATACAAACATGGAAATTAAAAGGAAAAATAAATTAAGGCCACGTTTTAAAAGACCAGGAAAGGATTCACTGCGGCATTTTGATGGGTTTTGGAAGGTTGTCTCAGTAAACAAAATTCTGCAGCAACTACTGTGTATCATAAGTATGAATGAAAAGAAAAACAGGAAAAATTTATCTGCTAAATGAAGGTATATGAAGAAGCAACTGTGAACAGGTATTATGTAGGTCATAAGAAGGCATTGTGGCCTTCTTCCTTGCTTCTCTCAGATCACTTGCTCTGGGGGAAACTAGGTACTATGTCATGAGGACACACAAACAGCCCTATGGAGATAATGACTTGGTGAGTTAACTGAGACCTCTTGCCAAGAGCTACATAAGTGAGCCATCTTGGAAAAGGATTCTTAGCCCCAGACAAGCCTTTGGATGACTGCAGTTCTGGCCAACATTCTCACTGCAATCTTTCTGAGACCCTGAGCCAGAACTGCCCTGGTAAGCCTCTCCATTCTTGACTCTGAGAAACCATATATGATAACAATTGTTTGTTCTCTCAAGTTGCAAATTTTAGGAAAATGTGTTAAACAACAATAAATAATAAAACAGTAAAGGTGTGAAGTCTCTAACTTCGTTTACATTAGTAGTCAATGAAGTTTTGAACTACGAGCTATGGCAAAACCTACACCTTGGAATTAGGTCTCACAGCAATATGCAATGTGAAGTGGGAAGCATTTTGTCATCTCTCTCACAGTATCCAGTAAAGAACCTTGCACACAGTAAATACCTGTGTTTGGTAGCAAACTAGCCGACACACAGGATTCTCTGACTCAACAAAGTAGTCTTAATGTTTCTTAAAAGTAAAACGACCCCTTAGAATCTCTCCATATAAATTCAATCCCACTTTGAATTGCCGTCCTACTTTCCTTAACTAAGCATTACAATATGTTATCAATGAAAACTGAGACCTATTAGCTCTTTTCCCTAAATTTAATCAAAATAAAAAGGGTAGCTAAAAGAGGAATTCTGGAAAGATTATGGACAGCTGTTTGCTTCAGAGTTGAAAGGGGTAAACAGTTGAAAGGGGTTAATAGCGAAGAGTCTCATGAAATTTAAGCAAAATACTACTTTACATAAAAATATTTTATTGCCTCAAACCTACAGTTCCTCAATAAAGCTTGACAATAATAACCTCAACATGCAGCCCCCCTTCTAGTGTTAGTATGATTTAAAAGTTTAGCCTCTATAACTAGAAAAAGATCTCCCCAATCATATCACTGGGAAATTGGGCAATATAAGTCTGTTTTCCCACTGTCAAGCAATATTAATAATACCTCAAAGTTTACAACCCAAATGGTTAGAAGTCAAAATTTTGACCCACAAAATGATAAGACCCTGTGACCTTTGATGATCATTTAAAATAAATTTCATTCTATATGCCCTTCCCTATCCGCCTCATCCTTAAACATGCTCTTTTCACTTGATGCATGAATTTATGCAGAAAGGCTGATAAAAGTGTCTAAAAGAGGTCTTGGCTTTTTCAAAATAAGTGATGACATAGTCTAGTTGGGGGTGAAAAAAACAACATAATGTAAAAAAGAGACAAATAACCACAAATCAAAGGTTATTATCGATTCATTTATATAGATAAGAAGCTAAGAGTACTTTCTTTAAGTATAATCTGATTCAATAGCTAGAACAATTTGTAAACCAAAAAAAATTTTTAGAGGCATTTTAAATTCTAAAATTGTATTTAAATTAACTTTGCCTCTGAAAATAACTTAAAAGGTGGTAAAACTTTTAAAAAAAAAAATGCAAGCTTAGATTCAAAGTAAAACTAGTTTTTAGGGGTCTTGCACATCTAAATAGTACTCCCAAAGAAAATTCCTATATTATCTATCATCTTTAAGGTTTTCTAACTTTATCAAAATAAATACACTAATACACTTATGCTGGTTTTGAATAACTCTCTCCTAGGGAAAATGTTTTTTGTACCCGGTGTCATTTAATCATTTTATAAATTAGTTACTTTTCACCATACAACAAACACTTCCAATACATGCCCATAAAGGTAAGTTCTAAAGCTTTATATTTAACTCTTTCTTTAAAAGAAAAAAAGATTTAAGAAAGTTCAACAAATTCTAAAGTATGTTAACCTCAAAGATGCAATCTAATTTCAATGATAGAAAACTGAACAGGCATTCTAATACACAGAATAATTGTGAGATAAAAAATCGTTGCAATAGGAATGCCTCAAGTTTTTTAAAAGCACTTTAAAACCACAATATCCTTTCATGAGTTACAAAAATAAAGACTTCCTACCATGAAATCAATCTGTAAAATCTACATAGACTGGTGTAATCTGCAGAACAGTTTTTAAGAATTATGAATCCTTTCCAAATTTAAAATAACAACAAAAAAAACCCTCAAAGGCAAAAAAGGGACATTTCAGAATTAAGATTATCAAGACCATAACAAGTTTCACTAATAATGTAAGGCTTTTTCATACAAGTAATAAATCTATTGCTTGTATTACCCTGAATGGTAAAATGACTACATTATTTTGCAGTCTCTAATGTTTAAGCATTAAGAAAAGCAAGTATGTTTCGGTATCAAATATTAACCTTATTTGGACTTGAGGCACCAATATCTTACTCCTTACTCTGAAATATGATGTGGAAATTAGACAATCAAGTGAATATCTAATAAGTATGAAATACAGCCAAAACTCTACTTCCTGAAATATTACTTGACCAATAATTCGTTGTCTCCTAAAAGGATGCAGAGGACAGATATTAACTTAAAACAAACCTGACACAGACTGTTATTTAAGAATTATTCTAATTCTTGTGAAGTGGAAACAGCAGGGGACTAGAGAACCTTTGTTCTGATCCAGCTCCACCACTACCATTCTACACTTGTTGTTTTTAGTAAGACATTCAACTTGCTTCTTCATTTGTTAAATGGAAATCAAAGTAATACCTATCTTGCACCACAGTTGTGAGAATAAAAATGACTGACAACTTCTGCGGTGCTAGGTGTGAGTGTGCGTGCGTGCGTGCGTGTGTGTGTGTGTGTGTGTGTGTGTGTGTACACTGTTAAACAGAACTATGGTAGATGCTGACTGTCTATGTCAACTTTCAAATATCTACAGGTACCAATGAAGGAGAATATAACAAAATAATTAATACATGATTCGTTGTGCAGTTCACATCAATTTTTAATTTTCTTGAAGACATTCTCCCTCCTGCCATGCTTAGGTAGTTCAGTACAATTTTTCTAAGGTTTGTAGTCTATTTGACCCCATCCAAGATGTTTTCTTAACTAGACATTAAAGTGTCAAACAGATTCTAACGCTGTATTTTCAATGTAGGGCCTTGTATTCTTCATTACATTCGCTATAAACCAAAGTGTTCGTTTTTATCAGTTAATCGGAATTCCTACAACTTTAAATATTTAAAACTTAAAAGTCAATAGCGATTGTTAAAAATTCTACTGCTCATCAAAACATTAGCAGATGGTCAAAATAAATGCTAATATACTTTAGAAGCAATATAATATGCATGAGATAGTTGTTTTTAAAAAGTACATTAAAAACCAATTAGTTAAAATACGGAGTTTTCCAGAGATCAAAAATGATAGTATCAGCTGAAACATAGCATTGCAATCAATTTTAATGTCGCGAAAAAAATGAAGCGCATTTTTTAAGTCTCCACGTTATTTCTAACGAGCTTTAGAAAAGTGCTACTTCCTTTAGAGATTTCTCCAATACATGACTTTAAATATTATCATCTAAAATCATGACTCTCACGCTAAAGCATTACCATATCAAAATGTTAACAGCATACTAATACGTTGCACAATCGAGACTGTATTTTTTTCCGATTCCAACTCTCTTCGATTCCTCAGTTATTTTAAAAGACATCAACTCATTTTTCTTTTCTACAATGAATTTATTCGTTTTAAACTTTCTCCCACGTTTGATCACAAAGCAAACAAGTTATTAAAATCACTTCAGAGACCACATTAATGACTGTATACGTGAAGAATTTTGGAAGCACTGATTAACTATAAAAGAATACTTATTATTTTTTAAGTAATAAGGAGTGATAGTTGGGGTTCCCCCCGTCCCCCAACAAGGAAGTTCTGTTAAATCCAGGCGAAACCAGCCATGTTGGAAAACACTTGTCAATTATAGCTCTGACAAGTGTTCGCGAACACCGCTGACGCTAACCTTGTGCACCGAGGTGTGTACATCAAGGGCCGCTTTTGCTCCGCCAGAGGATCTAGGCCTACTTTGGGGACTGTTTCCGAGTTAGAGCGGTCCTTAGGTCTGTAAGGAGTGAAGAGCCAAGGGAGAAGAAGGCGGGGAAAGGAGAGTTAGGGGGGAAATGGTTTGAGAGTTTGAAGCCGCTATCCGCGGCGAGAGGGGCGCGGCGGCAGGGAAAGATTCCCGAGTTGAAAGCCTGGGGGAGGGGCCGGGGATCTCGGCAAAAAGTCCCCCTGGACCCAGGAGTGCCAGAGGAGAAGGGAAAGGGAAACGCTTCCGTGCACTGACCTGTCCTCCGAGTCCATGCGGCTCAGGGGTTCCCCATCCGACGACATCTCCAAGCTGCCTCGCCGGCCCCCGGAGGTCGCGCTGCTTCCGCCTCCCCCTGTCCCGTAGCCCTCGTCGCCGCCGCTGGAGACGACGCTGCTACTACTGCTGCCGCCCCCGCCGCCACCCTGGCTGCCCCGCGGTCCCTTGGGCTCGTCCAGGCCCTCCTTGCCGTCCCCATCCCCGCTGCTGCTGCTAGCGGCGCTGGGGCTGAGCGAGCGCGTCTCGTCGCTGCTGCTCCCGCCGCTGCTGCCCACCAGGCTCTCGGCGCTGCTCTCCTCCTCGCCGCCGCCGCTACTGCTGCTCTCGTCCTCCTCCTCTTCGTCCTCGTCCTCGTCCTCGTCCTCCCCGGCCTGGCTGGCGCTCTCGGGGCTCGGCTCCGACATCGTCTCCGCCTCGCCGCCCCCCGCTCCGCCGCCGCCTCCCGCGCCCCCACCGCCGCCGTTCAGGAGCAGTGCCGCCACCGCCTCGGCCTCCGCCTCTTCCTCGTCCTCCTCTC